GGCCCCCACAGAAAGGGCTCGCAATCTGGGAGTCCTCCTGGATATGCAGTTGTCCTTGGAGGAACATCTGACAGCTGTAACCAGGGGGACCTTTTGTCAGGTTCACCTGATTCGCCAGTTGCGGCCCTTTCTTGATCGGGATTCCCTGTGCACAGTCACTCATGCCCTCGCCATCTCTCGCCTTGACTACTGCAACACTCTCTACATGGGGCTCCCCTTGAAGAGCACCCGGAGGCTCCAACTGGTCCAGAATGCAGCAGCGCGGGTAGTGACGGGAGCAACATGGCGCTCCCATGTAACACCGCTCCTGCGCGAGCTGCACTGGCTCCCAGTGGTCTTCCGGGTGCGCTTCAAGGTGTTGGTTATCACCTTTAAAGCGCTCCATGGCATCGGGCCTAGTTATCTTCAAGACCGCCTGCTGCTACCGACAACCTCCCATCGTCCCATGCGCTCCCACAGAGAGGGCCTCCTCAGGGTGCCATCAGCCAATCAATGTAGGCTGGTGACCCCCGGGGGAGAGCCTTCTCTGTGGGGGCACCTATCCTCTGGAATCAGTTGCCCCCAGAGATAAGGAGAATCCAAGACCTTAGTGCCTTCCGCCATGCCCTTAAAACTCACTTTTTCTAGCAAGCCGGGCTGGCTTAAGAAGAAATTTTAAATGTTTTAATTGGTTTGTATTTTTAATCTTGGGCCAAATTTATATATATTTTAATTGTTTTTTAATATTTGTATTCCATGTTTTTTAATTCTGGCTGTACACCGCCCTGAGTCCTCAGGGAGAAGGGAGGTATATAAATTTAAAAATAAATAAATAAATAAATAAATAAATAATCATTTTTTAACTTCCTTCAATTGTCTAATTGGGAAAGAACTGGAACATGGGTAATACTGTAGTAACCAGATTAATTTTTTTCAGAGAAGGGATTCAATTGATAGATCTGCAGATGGAAAAAGTTTTCCTTGACACTATACTAACCTGAAGATCAAGAGCAGAGGATCAAGAGGATTCCAAGGCTGTGTTCCTGTTTCTTCAAGTGGGTGGGGTGGGGACAAAACTTAGAAGTCATTTTAGATGATACCTTAGACTGGGACAGATGATCATTTCAGTCGGCCATCAAGACTTTGATTGACAAGTTTAGCATGAAAGCAAATTTCCCTGCTAGGAATGAAGGAAATAAAAGAATGCTGTCTCTTCTTTCCTATTTTGTTTTTATTGGGATGAGAACTGTTTGCAAAGATGATATGACAGGAAGCAAATTAGCAAACCACTAATATAAATGAAAATTATATGCCAATGATATTGTAGTAACATATACTCATCCAAACCACTCTAGAACTGTTAATGGAATATATACAGGCTTAGAATATAGAATTAGATTAGATTTTTTAATCCTGCCTTTATTATTTTCATAAATAGCTCAAGGCAACAAACATATTTAATATTTCTTCTATTTTGTCTACAACAAAAACAACCCTGTGAGGTAAGTTGGGCAGAGAGAGAATGACTGGCCCAAACTCACCCAGCCAGCTTTTCATGCCTAAAGCTGGACTAGAACTCACAGTTTCCTGGTTTCTAGCCTGGTGCCTTAATCACTAGACCAAAATGATATAAAAAAGCAGTAACTGCAACAACAGAGTTTAATATTATTGCTAAAAAATCAGATACCAGGGAATTTACTTAACAACAAAAATAGAGATTTCTTTATGAGTAATTATTTTCAGACTTAGAAATGTATAAAGGGAAATATATTAAGATGGAGAAAATTAAATGGAAGGAAAAATGTTACATTTAGTTAATATCATGCTAAAAGAAACTAGTATGTTTTACTGTGGTATATCAGCCTAATACTGATTGCAAAAATATATCATTTCTTCTCTAAACATTGGAAATGCAATAATAAGACTGGATCACTTTTTTAATGTTTTGTGGCAATGCTGTAAAGCCCCCAAATTTTGGAAAATGATTTATAATAAAATGGAACAGATTTTAAAAATTAAATGTACTTTCCAACCTTCTATTTTTCAGTTAAACATTACTAAATGTTACCATAAGGTATAACAAGCTGCTTTTCTTGAGCCGTGGTGGCACAGTGGTTAGAATACAGTATTGCAGGCTAACTCACTGCTCACTGCCAGAGTTCGATTCTGACTGGCTCAAGTTTGACTCAGCTTTCCATCCTTCCAAGGTTGGTAAAATGAGGATCCAGATTGTTGGGGGCAATATGCTGACTTTGCAAACTGCTTAGAGAATCCTGTAAAAGCACTATGAACCAGTATATAAGTGTAAGTGCTATTGCTATTTTGTACACAGTAACAACAGCTCCCAGGATTTTTTTGCTTTTCATTGGCAATTACATATAATCCCTCTGTAGAAGAATACCAAATTTAAGTTGTGGGAGTCTGCATGAAAGTTAAAAGTAGCCTTATATTTGAAAAACAAATCAGATACAGAACTCAGTTCTATGTGGAAGCTATTCTTGGATTACACTTCCACATATGGTCCTATACAGCAGCCAACATTTGGATTTCTTCAAACACAAGCTTTTAACATTTAAGTTTGTATTCGACTTGCTAAATATAGGGAGCTTTTTAGATGAGGTAGAAATTATTGTAATTTTTAATCTTGGTTTATTAATACTGTTATTTTGAATATTTTTACTTAATCTTCTAATACTTATGTATCTCAATCCTGTGTACTTTTAAGCTTTTTATATATTTTTTTTCCTGACTGATTTTTAAATAGAATATCAGTATGCAGATGATACTCAGTTTTAAGTCTCTATGCCAGGCTGACCCAGTTATATTTTTGGAGTACTTTTGCTGTGGAAGGATCTAAGTGAAAAATAGTTTTCAACTTAACCCTAACAAGACAGAATTGCTTTGTGTTCTAGGCCCTCCTAGATGAGAACTTCCTTTAGTTCACAATGGGATTGCACTGCACCAGACAGGACCAGGGCACAACAAACCATGGAGGGGGTATCTTGTACTCACAACTCCGGGTGGCAACCAGGACCAGGAGTGCTTTTGCACAAATCCACTTGGTGCACCAACTGCATCCTTTTCTTTGTTTGGGAGCATTGCTCACTCACATCTTGGTCCCATCAAAGTAGACTGCTGCAATACGCTCTATGTAGGGTTGTCCTTAAATATTATTCAGAAGCTGCAACTGGGGCAATGCAGGGAATTGTTTACAGCTCAATTTACCCTCCATCATAGCTTGACAAGGTGCTCTGGCTCCTTGTAGGCCATCATGTTCAATAAAAAAATGTTTTCACCTATAGAACAATTAATGGTGTGGGGCCAGATTATTTGCAGAACCATCTCTCTCTGATCTGTTTTGCCCATCTCACTAGGTCTGACAGGGTTGGTATAGTATTAGATCAGTGATGGAGAACCTTTTGGGCTTGGTGAGGCAAAAGTTCAGAAAATGCCTAACCTGATTCTGCTGGCATGTCACACGCACACCCTGAATAAGAGATAAACATTTCTCTATCCTATCTTCCCCCTCCACACATCTAGGCCACCCTGAACAGCAGCATCTGGGCTTCATGTCACCCCGGGTTCTACTACTTCCATTCAAAAAGGCCACCTCACATTATTCCCCAAGCATGCAAGCCTTGGGGAGTGGTACAATTGCCCTGGTGGTCTAGCACTCCCCAAGATCACTTACCTTCAGGTGGTGTTCTCTTTTGATTGATAAGCCCCTGCAACCTACCTGAGGTTGCTCCAGGTCACATGAAGCCTTCATTCTTAAAGCGGCTTTCGAGAATGCTCTTTCTCTGCCTCTGCAAAATGCACAAGTACAAGGAGTACTTTCGAGAATAGTTGTTCGTGGGTGTTGGTGAATACTGGTGTGTCACCTAAAATGTGGCATGTCACCTTTGACACACATATGTCTTAGATGGCACCATTTAATATTGTGATGTTTTAAAAATCAATTTCAGTTGAACAATTAAGTAAAGCAAAATACTGAATTATGAAATCAAAATAAATAATTTTAAACCAGATTTAGAAATTTACAGTAATTATATTTTTAATACACAGATATGACACTTATCACAAATAATTTTATTTATTTATTTTTAAATACGGATTTTAATGTTTAATGCAGTTCTAATAATGAAAACTTTCTGGAGAAATAAAACAAAGATCTTTGCATAATACTGAGAAATTAAAATACCGGTAGGTGCCAAACTGAGTTTCTATGGGAAAGAAGCTCCTCTGGATACAATGAGTGCATTCACATACTGCCTTATAAACTAAGTAGGAGCATGAACACTGTTGTGAGACATGAAACCAATCAGCATCCATTTTGCAACCCTCAAAGCCTTACCACATGGGCGATGTAAAATATTTTGGCTATTTGCATGGCAAAGGAGTGTTGAAGATAATTTTTTTTCTTAAAACTTCTGAGCCCCTTTCCCAAATGGGTTGCAATCCCACCCACTTTAATATGCTATTCTTGCATGCCATATCCTTATAAACCAATTAAGGTCCCAAATTTTGGTTTGAATTTGATAACAGCTGGCTTTCCTGTCAGAAGAAAGAAACAGTTAAAAAGAACTGTAGCTCCTTCTATGGTGAACTGGAAACTTTACTGCTTGTACTCCCCAAACAGTCCAATGTGGAAATTCAGTGTTTGTACTCTGGCCTCGTGGCTTGAGTTTTATAATCACAACTGGACCACAGCAAGTTAGTAAGGCTATCATAGATAGATTACAGAATAAGTAAACTGGTGAATTTAGAAAATGTGATACATAAATAGTATAATGAAATAGAAACTACATTCAGCAACGATTAAACTGAACAACTAACATCTTGATGTAAATATATATAAACCACATTTGAAATGAAGGATGCAATTTGGATGGCATGGTACCATTCCAAAAAAGTTGTAGAGCTTGAAGAATACAAACCATGACATTGATTCTAGTTTTTCCTTTCCACGAATGGGGAAAAATATTGTTCTCTATAATTTACCAAGAGAGGGAGAGATTAAATGGAGATATAATAAATGTTTATTAAGCACAATAAAGAACAAACAGCTCCCTAGACTTCAGATAATATGAAATCATCTGGAATTAATTCAGAATAGACAAAAGAAAGTATACTTTCTTACAAAAAGGCAGCAGTTGCTAGTGGCTTAGGCATTTTTAAAATCACAGAGGATAAGACTGTTAATGGCTAAGTACTGATTTAGGCAGTACTGAATGCTGTTCCAGACTGAATACAGACTTTCCCATCATGGCGCCCTCCAGATACACTTAATTTCCAAACTTCACAGCTATTATAGTATTTGGGAATACTGGATTACACAATCAACACCTCCAAGTAGCACCACAAAGAAGTCTATGCCTTTTTTTATTCCACATACAGATATCTCGAAGTATCTGAGTGGCTACTGGCTGTGATTGACAGGAAATGAAACTAGACAGACTTCTGGGTAATTGCATTTCAATATATTAGGCAAAAAAAATATTAACTAAAAATGCTAGAAAATATTTATTTTTACTTACAAGAAAGTATATTTCACTGCCCATTATTTTAACTGCAAGCAAATAACTGTAAAGCTTGTTAAATAATCAATTTAAAAAAGGAAAGAAAGCAATACATTTATTAGCACAATCAATTACGGAGGAGCAAGAAAAAAAACACTATAGAAAATATATTTGCTGCATAAAATACTTTAAAAATAAAGTTCTTATTTTTAGGAAGTAGCTATCCCCCATTTGCAGATGATAGATAACTGGGGATGGTAATCAATATACCAAATACACATAATTTTTGGTTGTTGATGGCAAGGAGATGTAAGGGAGACTAAAAGCATGACAACTCAATAGCAAAGAGTACAAACAACTATCTCATGTTCAACTTTATCAGTATTATTTAAGTAGGAAAGTCGTAAACCACATTTTGTAATACCTCATAGGGCAAGTAGGAAAAGAGAATGGTGCTTAATTCCCTCCCCCTCCTACTTTTCTTCATTACAAAGTGTATATGATGACTTTTCTTCAAACTGAAACATATTTTGAAGATCACTTGCATGAAAAAGAACTTGGAGCTGAAATGTTTACAAAATGCAAATAATCTAAACTAGCTTGCAATTAAGAACAAAGCATAGCTGAAACACCCCAATTTCTCATATGTTATCTAGTTCAGCTCTCACATTTGAATAAAAAATGAAATTCTATCTACGCATGTGATTTCATTATTAGACTACTGCAGATGCCCAACATCCACTATTCTTTCTTTAAAAAATACTCTACTCAGCTATTCTATATTTTTTCAAAAGGGTACTGTATCCCAACAATTCTACTTTTTAAAAAATACTCTAAGAGAGAAAAAAAAGTCTTATTTCTGTTGCAAATATGACCAATTGCCCCAGCAAAATTCCCATTTCTATTACTTGGACCTACTTATTTTTTTGGTGCTAAGCAGCAAAGAACCATTGCAACAGAGATCTTTTACATTTTAGTCAGAACGCATAACCTGCAATCACAGGATTATGTAATAATGCATGGCTGCTCACGTTCTACCCATCCATTTCTTGGTGTGGTGCCCGTGGTCACTAAGGCTGCCACCAAATACCAAATATGACAGCAGGATAAACTATTACACATATACATCTTACATATGCATAAGGAATAAAAAAAAATCAAATTTAATGGAGGTGTGGCCTGACCTCTTTTGGAACACAACAGAAATGACATATATTCAGGAGTGAGAGGGATTCTAATCAAAATAATCATTAGCAGCAGCATTCCCACCTAAATCACAGTACTGATTTGGTCAGGGGGAAAATATAGACTAAACTCTGAATTATTATAGGCAACTGAGATAAATAAGACCTCAAGGGTCCAAAGCTATGTATTGGCAAGTGAACTAGAAAAATTAAACTCATTAAAAAAAAAAACAGTGGCTATTGCACATGTAACTAAGCTATGGGTTAAACATCAAATGTATCTGAAATTGTTTACTAACTACTCCTGATTATAGATCAAGCATTAGACATTATTCCATACATAGTGCAATTTCTCACCAACAGAAACATAGGAAAATAATATATACTACATATATGCAACTTTTTCAGTGGCCAGTAGACTATCTACCATTTGATTGCTTCCATTTTTGCAAGCTGCAAATGTTTAATAAAAAGCTTTTGTTGTGCAAACTGCAATTACTTTGCTACTTCAATTAAAAACAAAGAAACTGGTAAACTGTCAACGTCCGAGACAGCACACCGTTCAAAGCGGCCACAATGCGCTGTTTCGGAGTTGCCACACAGGCATAGGGGGAGGGGGATGCATGGGGCCACAGATGGGTGCTGGGTGATGGGACTCATGCTGGGAGAGGAGCCAGGAAGGCAAGCCAGCTGCGGTCAGTTCAGAAGCCATCCAGGCCTGAAGAGTACTTGCTGGAGCCAGCCAGGAGCAACCAGGAACAGGAGGATGGAGCGTGCTGAGTCCATATAGCCAGCTGTCTAGCAAAAGCCAGTAATGCTGGCTAGAAACCCTTTTACTCTATTGTTCACCACGTGCCAAACTGAGATTCCAGTAAAGAGACCCGTTCTACTCACAGTGTGGCCTCTTCCTTTGCTGCTTGGTTTGGAACCTCTACTATCTAGAAAGAGATCCAATGCCTTGGTCACAAAATAAACTGCGATTTCAATATCAAAAGTGTATCACTATCCTTTTGAGAGATTGCAAACAAATGTTTATACTTCATTCATTAGATAAATGCTAATCATTATGACTGGGAAGACCAGTCACTTTGATTAGACCCCAGGAAAAATGCAACTGAACAGAATTTTTCTGTGATTTTTCACAGAAAATAACAATGGGCAGGTTGTTATCCTCCAGAAATGATGTATCAATGAGAACATTCTAATCATTCTAAAATGTCCCTGATTGGATTTTGATCCCAATCCCATCTATATTAATGGCATTTTTGCAACTGTAATACTGTTTCCTAAACAGGGAAAAAATAGAAATTGGAAAAAACTTTAGACTTTTAACATTTTGTGCAGTCTTATCATTTGTCTTTCACTAATTTTACCCAGGTAGGAAGAGAAAGAGATATTTCAAAGTATTTCATTTACATATTTCCATACTGAGCTTTACTCTCAGATTCTTATGCATTCTATATTACCTATACTAAAAGAATATATACCAAACTCAATGTATTATCTTTTATAGTAGTTGTATATTCCAGATAATTTTATAGCATGCTTGTTTAAAATAAGATGGATACTTGTATATCATAACTGCCATTAGATGGCAGTGTTCAACAACTTTCCATTGCAATACAGTATTAGGTTAAGGATTAGTTTCAGCAATCCTTATATAGTAATTAAACAGTGGAATAACTATTAGGTTGCTTCTTTTAAAATGCTTAGTTTGAGAAAAGTTTTAAGATTTATAAGTTGATTTTGGATTTTAGGGATTGGGATTAACAAAATAACAGAACTTAATAGAATTTTATAAATTTTCTGTCTAAAACGTGGGGATGCAAAAAGCTGGAAGCTCAACCACCTTCAATATTTTTCATAATGAAACTGCAAAACAGCAGCTTTCCTGAAGTGCCATATCAAAATTTGAATTTGTTATGTATTGGAAATAATCTTTAAAGTATATAGGCTTTTCTACTAGCCACTATAGAATATTGCATGTCAAAGAGAAACATTTTTTAAAAATGTTAAACCCAAATTATGACCATATTTTCAATGTTCAATTACTCTTCAAACTAAACTATACTTCATAATGTTCTAGCATTGGTGTTAAACATTTTGATGCTTTTATAGGGAAAAATGTAATGTTACCCTTCCCTTCTCATATAAGATATTAAACTGGATTGGCATTTGGCATTCATTAAATAAGGTAGCAAACTTTAAATAGAAACTGATTTGTATATACATGAAAAAGAATTCCAAGAAGATAAGTGCAATTTTAGATTGACTAATCCAATGGGAAAGTAATCCCTATACTGGACATTCTTTGAGACAAGACCTAGAATCCTTTCTAGACTATAATCTGTCCTACAGCTGACATGTTCAAAATAGCAAGTCCTGAAAACAGCAATGCAGGTTCTAAAGACGGACAGACAAGGCAGTTTATTTCCTGCACTTTGCTGGTTTATAGAATATTCTCACATGTGACTAAGAATGCTCAACATTTAGGACACACCTGCAATGTTTATTAAATGAGGTTAATAATATTCCCAATTAGATAGCATTACTTGAAACTAGTAATTTAGATCCCTTGATAGACACAGCTTCATATTCCCAGCTGTGTGTTTTATTTATTTCTGATCAGATTTTACAGTTACCCGTAGAGATCCAAGTCAGTTTCAGAGCCCCTTCTTCTGGAATATTTCTCCATTTACTTTCACAGATGAACCATTTTTCATTGTCCTACCACTAAAATTCCAGTCAACAGGAGAAGAAAGTTGAAGAGTCTTTTTGTATGTCCAGTAGGGATTAAGTATGAAGGTAACAGCACTCAATCCTGTTAATACAACAGTAAAATGTAAGAGTCCCAGATTTTCCATCACAGCATTCCAATTGGAAAGACACACCCACCATATATGGTAGGTAAGCATCATGCGGCAGTGAAACATGTGGATCATTATCCACTGACTTGCCTTCCAAAAGAAAGTATTAGCCCGGCCAGCCTAGAGAAAAAGGAAAAAGAAACCCAAGTTAAAATACCAAATAGATAGAATTGAAACATATTTCACATTTCGCATGAAACAAGAAACATATTTGCAAAGTTAAAGCATTATAGAACCTTACTACTTCCAAATTTGTTGAAAGTTATGAAAGAAGCAGGGAATCTGAAACAAAGCTAGCTTGTGAGTAAGAACTTGATTAAACATCTGAATCACCTTTTGGAGGACAAAATGGAATGTCAGCAAGAAAAACTATTAGGAAGCATGCTTAAGTTCTTCCAATTCGAGCAAATTCATGTCTTTTTGTCTCATGACTGAAAAGAATCACTCAAAGGAAAAATAACCTTTTCCATATGCCAAGACAGCAACTTTATAATCCATGCCCTACATCAGTTACAGAACTGGAAAATGCAGGAGAAAATGTCCCAACACATGAATCTTGGAAGATTGCTCCAGAAACAAACTTATTCCACAACAGATCTATATTTCATCTGTGGAGTTTGTCAAATCTGTAGAAAATAGTATTGGCTACCTTTTAATTTAAATAAAAAGAGGGATGTTTCCTGCCATATTATCCTAAGCTGTATTACTAGGAAGTAGAATTCAATTGAGAAGAAAGAGCCAGTTTAATCTAGTAGTTTAGGCAATATGTTAGAACGCAGGAGATTGTGAGTTCTAGTCCTGCCTTAGCCATGAAAGCCAGCTGGGTGACCTTGGGCTCTTAGCCCAACCCACCTCATGGAGTAGTAGTTGTGGAGAAAATAGGAAAAAAGTTCACCTAAACATAAAGAAATGGTCAGAAATCTCCTAGCACAACTCCGCAAAATCTAAGAAAATGATTCCTATTTGATCTTGACATCCATATGGAAGCATAATAACCCACAGTGTTTAAATTGCTCAGTTGTTCCTATGAATTTAATTGTTCCTTAATATTTTGAAAGAAATCCTGGAGATCATATCTGCTTGGAAACACCATGGTCTGACAAAGCAGTTCTTCATCTAATATGTGGGTAGTGGGTAGTGGGTAGTTCATAACTAATCAAATATAATAAAAAGTATACCCAAATGTTTTTCAATTTATGTTACTTACAATTAGGTTCAAAATAGTAATAAGAATATTTTCACAAGTGATTATCCAGATTTTCAATCTTCATAAATCAAAAGTGTCATTAACCATAACTGATGTATTAATACCTATTCTCTTTTACTTTTAATATTCAAATCTAGAAAGGGCTGGTTGGATTCATATAATTTACTCTTTTGTTTTCTACAGTTATTTTAATCTAGAGGAGGCTGTTTGGGCTCACATAATATATTCAATCTAGATTGTAAAAGTATAATCTAGAATGACAGGCACTCACCAGTATCCCTTTTACCTCCTCTACTAACGTAATTTTGCCACTGGTATATGTCTGCCAATTCTCAGGAATTAAAAAAATAAAATAAAGTACAATTTACGGCCAGAGACAAATTGTCCTTTACATATTACAATGGTTGGGCTCAAACAAATTATATTATGGCTCAGCATAATGTATGAACCAACCACCACTTGGAACCATCTATTTTTCCATTTTTCTCTCTAGCCCTACTTATTACTTGGGAAACTATACTGAGTTGGGGTTGGCAAGCTTATGGTCTTCCCAATGTTTAAGCAAAGCTTCCATCATCCCTCAGCCACAGGCTGAGCTGTTTGGAGCTCAGCAGTATCTAAAAGATTACAAACTTCCTACCCGTACATTGTAATAAGCACTTGTAACACAATTTTTGACCTGGTTTTTAGATTTCACATTTACACATAAGCATGAACTGAAATACTGTCTAAATTGTTTGCATTTCTGTCATAAATGTTTACATTACAATGCTGTTTTCAATTTTCAGTCTAAAGTACAGTCTATAGTATGCTGTATAGAGAATTCTATTGTTTTAAAGGAATACTATTCATATATTCAATTAATAAAGCTGAATGACCACAAGTGACTCAAAGTGGCATATTCAAAAAATTGTAAAACACACTATCCCAATAAAGCAGCTTTAAGGGAGAGCTTCTGAACTCTTGCATATACAACTCTCCTTATTGCTTTCTCTGCCACCTCCAAATGAAGAAGCAAAAGTTTACATGGATTCCATTTGCTGTCATTTGCTGTCATTTCCTTTATCTATCCTAATGACACATATATTAACTTCCCCTTAAGGTCTTAGAGAAAGAGAAGTTGTTATATTATGTCATGACTTCATATACAAGGTTTACACATAACTTCCTCAAAAGTTATGAACTTTTGTATGTAGTTGTAAGAAATAAACGTTCTCCAAACAGAGCTCAAGATCATTATTATTTTCTTGGATTGGTGGTATTGCAGGGCAGTCAACAAGCAATCCACAGAAATAGCAGTTTTAATCTATGGTTCCATGTCACAGAAAAAAATCCAATTATGTATGTAGTTCACAATATTGTAAAACGGGACACTGTATTTCATATAGAACCACATCTCATTTAACTACTTAAAACAAGCTCACAGCTAGTCTTCCATTTGATGTGGTGGATCTCCCCCTTGTGCCAAACCTATCATGGATTGAAATTCTTAATACAACTTTAGTTCTTCATTGGAATGCACACTAATTATCAACATGAACTGTTTTAGGTCAGATTATAGTTCATGTAAATGAACATTCTTATTAGCTACAAAGAATTGACAACTACATGGCTAATTTCTACTAGCATTATTTTGAGTCTCAAATGCTTCATCCCTCTTCCAGTGATATTTTCGATCATCCCCAAATTGGCTGGGGACAAATACAGAAAGTTGTTTTCCCTAACCAGGTTTATTAATTCTACAACATTTTTCCAGAACAAGTGTTTTGGATGCATTTTGTATTCTAAAACACAGTCCTAAGTTAAATTTAAAGTAGCATTTAAAGTTAAATTTAAATTGAAAGTAGTAAATTTAATAAACACAGTATTAATAGATTTAATATTTCATCTGGAAAAAGCTCAATCAAGGTAAATAACCTCTTAAAAATGAATTATTCAATCAGGGGTTACTCCTAGCTGTTGCTCTACCACTTAATGTTCTAGATATGAGAATCAGCTAATCTTTTCAAGTGTGCATTTATTATGACAGTCTTCTGTAACAGTTACATCTGTTAGTAGATGAAGAACACTAGCAGTGAGGACCTCCAAGCAACTATGTACTCAGACATGGGCCTAGGACTGATCACTCATTTCCATTCATCCTGAATGGAAATGCATACAGTAACAGAAGAGACGGAGGATTAGATTCTAGATAGGAGATTCAGCAAGAAAAAAGTGAAGAGTGAGAGCTGTAGCCTGAACTTGTAGAATAAAATGCCTCATTACTTGAAACAAATTGTTATCATGCTCTCAGACTTGCTGCAATTCTAGCCTGTTTTGCCATATGGACTTCCACTAGGGACTAGTCCAGACAAGATGTGTAATTTTATGTAGCAACCGTAGCTCTTCTTTGCTCACTGCTCTCTCACCTTTAAAAGCATCCAAGACATGCAAGTGAAAGGCGTACTCATCTCAAGTAGCATTCCCATCAAAGGTATGTAATGTCCAGATTTTATGTTGGTTATCAGACCCAAAAAACCACCAAAGGCAAGAAAATGGTGAACAACCACAAATAAATCAAATGTTTTAAAGACAAAATTAGAGACATGAACGGCTACATTTTCCAGCAAAAAGAAGCCAGAGGCTATGAGACAACTGAACCAACTCCAGTCCTGCTGGGAATAAACCTTGTCAGCTTGAAAAACTGGATCTAAAAGTAAAGCCCAGAAGCCAGCCACAAAACATTGAATGCCGAACACGCCTCGTGTAGTAGCCAGATTCCAAAAGACTTTCTCCTTTGTTGGCAATGAGCGGTAAGTTATACTCAAACATGAAGACAAAAAATGTGAAAAACAAAATATTCCCAAGTAGAGAAAGAAGCCAATGGCCACTAGTGCCAAACGAACTTCCCACAAAAAATAATTCCAGGCAAATATGGATCTAGATGTTGCCTCATCATTTTGAAGATTCATGTCTTCTACTTATGTTGAGGTGGTTTGGGGAGCACTTGTCAGGTCCACTTAAAAATCTTGAACTTTTGCCCATGCAGTGAGCAGCAACCAAATTCTCATTGTCACCTGAAGAAAAAAAAATAAGACAAAATGCTCTGTACAGTATAGAAATACATACATTACACATACCTAGTTCTAAGAAGTCATACAGACTCAATTTACACACTGCATTAAGAGGTCCTTTAGTTTGGGTAAAACTTTTTGTACAACCAAAATAGCTTAGAATTTTGTGTAACCCAATAATAATTATTCAACAAACTGATTAAATAAACATCAAATGAGAATCCAACTATGCATTATTAGTAGCAGTGCAAAAGTTGCTTGGGTTTCTTGCATATACTGTACTTCTGCAATTAACACTGAGATAAAGAATCACATATTGCTTCTTAGTACCCGTCACTGGCCATATTAGTCTGGCTCTGAATCCAAACACTGACCTATATAAACAAGTCATGTCTTTGTGATGGCAATTAAATGTGTAAATATATACTTCTTGTAATGAACTTATTTATGTTTTTTAAAAATGTTAGAGTTGCACGCACCTAACTATGAAAAGTGCTTTCTGAGGAGAAAATTAAAGATGGCATGGGAGATAGCTGGCTGACAAGGCATCTATAGTCGCCTTCCTTGATCTGGTGCCCTCCACAAGGACTGAACTTATAAAATGGCCCTGCAGAACAGCTTAGACAAAATTATGGTTGACTAATTTGTGACACATTATATTATATAAATCCAGTCAGTGTAATCAGTATATGGTTTGATATGTTGGGTGAATCTAAACACTCAGGTCAATTCAGATAAACATGGTTAACTAAACCATAAGTAAGCAGGGACAGAGTTACCAGCTAAATAAAAACATAATCAGTGGCTATAGCCAACTATGGCTTCTTTCACTGTGTTTTTACCCTTACTGGATTGTATTCCACACTGTCAGGAAAATGAAGTTGCACATACAACCTTGGAGGTTACTTAGGGAACACTGAGGCCCTAATAATATGTAACTGCTATATTTTGCAGGGAGTTTCAAAGGTGCACATGACTGCCTAGTCATTAGCAGGGAAGGGATGTTTTCAAGCTTTCTTCCATTATGCCTTGCAGATGGATTTAAGTAAGCACTAAGTTCCAGATGCATATTTCATTCCTAGTCATTATACATTATAAGCACATTATACACTATGATTCAGGTCTGTATCACAATAATTAACCCTTAACTTGAAATACACACAAACACATGTTGGCTGAGGATGATGAGAGTGGAACTTTCAGGACAGAAGCAACAACTAGTTCAACATTATCCGTCCTACCCAAAGATATTTTTAAAATAAATTTCTGCAGCCTGATCTTTTTAACTTGGAGATACAAAAAGGTAAGTAAAGCCATTGGCACTAGATGCTCATAATATTTTGGTAATTTCATATGAGGTATTCTCCTGATGATCGTCTTCCAAAATCCTGTCTTCCTGAGTCCTTTCTCTGTACACCTCAATGCTTAAGAATACTTTTCTGGGTAATGCAGACAACCAAGCCATCCCAAATGCCCAAGGCTTACCCAGATTAATTCTTGCCTAGCAACAGATTTAATATAAGTAAGGCTTTGTGAGACCTTTATTAAACGCTTAAAACCAATAGAAAAAAACTGTTTTTAAGGAAGAGTGGCTGCCCTAACAACTCTGAAGAAACACTGAGGGACAAGAAAAAGTAATACCATATCCTGAAAATGACACTTCCAGTTACAGGTAGTCCTCGACTTACAACCACAATTGAGCCCAACATTTCTGTTGCTAAGTGAAACATTTGCTAAGTGAATTTTGCTCCATTCTACGACCTTTCTTGCCACAGTCGTTAAACGAATCACTACAGTTGTTGAGTTAGTAACACGGTTGTTAAGTGAATCTGGCTTCCCCATTGACTTTGCTTGTCAGAATGTCACAAAACGTGACCACATGAGCCCGGTATACTGCAACCATCATAAATATGAGTCTGTTGTGCCAAGAGTTCAAATTTTGATCACAGGGATGCTGTGAAAAACGGTCATAAGTCACTTTTTCACAACACCGTTGCAACTTTGGTCACCAAATGAACTGTTGTAAGTCGAGGACTACCTGTACTTCCTTCAGACCACCTCACCGTCCTCTCTCCTGTTCTAAAAAAAAACAAAACAAAAGGAATCCGAATTAGCTTCACTTCTGCTTAAAAGAATCTTCCGGAATTGTAAAACTAACAAAAGAAAAACCACCACCCAACAGGGAGAGAGAGAGAGCAACGAGCTGCCTTCATCCATGGCGGGTGGCAAACGGAAACTGGGGCTCTTCGGGGGTTTATGACGTACGCCCCTGTCCTAACTTCACTCTTAAAACAACGTTGGCAACCGAGAAGGGTTGCGTTTATTCTTACTCCCTTCCTCACAGACACACACACACACAAAAAGTTAAATGGATTACCACAGCCTTCTTTATTCCTGTCGGATGCACCTTCAGATTATAAAACATATAACATCCAACCCTAAGTAGTAGTAGTAGTAGTAGTAGTAGTAGTAGTAGTAGTAGTAATAATAATAATAACAATAACAATAATAATAATAATAATACAAAAAACCACTTTACTCGGAACAGCTTACATCCTCCGACGATACCTTAACAGTTCCTAGGTCCTTGGTTAGGACTCGAGCTGCTGAGCTATTAACCAGCCTCAAAGGCTGTGAATCTCACTAAAGATTAAATAATAATAATAATAATAATAATAATAATAATAATAATAATAATAATAATAATAATAATAATAATAATAAATAAACACCCAGAAGCCCCCGCCCACCCACCCCATGGTCAGGGATTGCCACAGCGAGGGAAGAAGAGGAACACACAACTTGCAGCTCGCGTTTTGTTTTTTTTCCCTCTCCTCCAGGCTCTCCCTAATTCCGCGCTGCCACTACTATTCAGAAGCGGTCCTTACCGGTTGACGCCAAGGCCTCGGTCGGTCGGTCGGTCGGTCGGCCGGCTTCCCTTCCTCTTTCGCAACCACCCCGTCTGACTTCTGTTTTGTTTCTGTGGCTTGGTTTGGGTTGGGTTGGGTTTTTTAATAAACGTCGTTTTCCTGTGACGCGCTTAATCAACCAACCCACCCCCCCCTCTCCTCACTCCTCCCGGTCAGCCGGGTCCAAATCAACACTTTTCGGCCAAGGCAGCCTTAGCGGGGAATGCGTGCTCGTGCACAGGGCCTCGGATCCGCCCTCGTTTCCCCTTTTTTTTTCTTCATCAGTCAGGCAGACAGATTGGGGCAAACCATTTGGTCGCTCGGAGAGGGGGGTGGAGGAAAAAAAGGGAACGCCGTGAGGGAAATTTCTGAGGGAAAATGAGGGGAGAGGTGTTGTCCCCAGTTCGGGTCTGAGCCTGGTGGCGAGGCCAGTGAAGAATGCCAGACACTTTTGATTGCTTTTTATTGAGATAACACAAGGAATAGGGCTTCTGGCCAAAATGCCAAGAGAGCCAAGAACAAAGGATTAAGAAAGCGTTATACATTTTCACTAAAGGAGAAAGCAGGACAAGGCGGAATAATAAAAAAAATATCTAATAAACATTTTAGTAATAATTCTACAATTTGTTTTATTGGTGTCTAGCTGTCCCTATTCCTAAGCCTTGGCTAAGGAGTTACCTAATACACATTTTATTTGCTGCAGGAATCTCTATTCCCAATTTAGCTGAGGTCTGCAAGTTGCCTTAACTCTTTGTTGCTCTTATCAGCTTTCTAACCACCCAGAATTGTTACAAGCTGTACATGTGCATATTTCTTGTGAATAAGGAGTCTTTGTTCTTGCCAGACAGACTCTGCAATTACAGGCTTCCTGATTTACTTTCAAGTGTGTGCCCTGACTTTGCTTTACTTTACTTTAGCAGACAGCCCATCATCCCCCCCCTCCCACTTTGAATCTGAAAATGATTTAATTTTCCAAGATTCACCAAAATCAATATTCATGTACTGGGAGACCCCGTAGTTTGCTTACAGGTTGGAAAGGCAAAGCAGAAGGCATTGCAATCCACAACAGGTGATTAAGAGAACAATTAACTATGCCTGCCAGGGTCATTATTAGGTTCTTAACCAGTTGAAATCAGGCAACTATCTTGTCAGCAAATACCACCAGCCTTTCCATTCCTCTGGGGTGGGGGGGATAATGAAATAAACAAATTTTCTTTATATCCTACACCTGACTTCTGTTACCTAAGCAAAACATTTTACATTTGCTTTTTTAGAGTTCATTCTGATATTTTCATTCCACTTTATGACAAAATTTGCAGCTATCTTCCCAATGTGTGTAGTTCGGCTGTGGAATTCCCTCCAATTTGTCCAGAATGTGCACACAGCATTGTTGTCCAAGTAGTGCACACATACCTCCTTAGGATGCCAATACCATATCTAGAGCCATCCTATTATGAACTGTCATTTTCCGAATGGCTTCTTGTTCTTTTGCTGCAGCAATTAAAAAAAAAAAAACCTCCCCAGTCTCATTAGCTAGGATTTCCTCCACTGCCTGTATATAATGCATGACCTTATTGAGGGACCAGAGCCCACAGAAGAAAGTAAGGGGTTGGTAGTTCTTCAGGTACTTTCTGGATTGTTCAAGTTCCCTATGGTTTCTAATCTTTCTTTCAGGTAAAGTGGGTATAATATAGGTGGGTGGGAGGACCACAGTTACATAACAAATCATATGGTCTCATCCTGACAGTTGTTAAGTCTATTTGTCTTAATATTAATTCTCGTGTGGGTAGCTACAAATACCTTTTGGGGAAATTTTCTAATTGAGAGAACCCCTATGTGTTATGTCCGTGCAGGCGTAAGCAGAGGCTTTCCTTCTGCCACGCAAGTGCGGGACATATTTTAAAGTTATTGATTAAAGGCTGACAATTTTCCTTTAAGAGGGGCTGTCAGCCAAAAATTACATGTTGGTTTTACTGAGTCATTATCTAGAATAAACATAGATGCTGGAAGTTTGGCTTCTCGTCTGTGTTCCTACACACACACTTTCCATTGGCAACGAGGATGGGATGTATGGGATGGGATGGGAGATGATAGTTCTCCTCTCACACAACTATGGTTCTGGAGGCTTTTGTTTCCAGAACAATAATTTAAGTCCCAATTCCTCTACTGAGAAAGTCACAGGCTGCACAGTCCAAGAATCAGGAATGGCAGATTGTGGGTATTTATTCACTTCACTTTTACTATGAGATAAAGTGATAGGGTTATCTGTTGAGCTTCTTCAACTAGCAGGGACCTGTTGCTGACACTGTTCACAAGCCATCCCAATGCCACAGGTCTTTCAAATGAGCCTAATTTCTGGGTGAGAACTTTCATTGCAATGCCTTCCCATTTGTGTACAAATACAGTAAAAGTTGTAGTGGGGTCTGGAAGCCCCAGTGCCGGTGCTCCCATAAGATCACTCTCTATTTGTGTGAATGTTTGTTTGAATTATCTAATCCATTCAAATATATTCCCATCCCCCTCTTTAACAGTCTCATAAAGGGGCTTGACAATTAATCAAAAATTAAAGATTCAAATTCTACAAAAACCAGCCATCCCCAAGAATCCCAGTAGTTTTCTATTAACAGAGGGCTTTAATGAATTGCTTCCCTTTTTAGGCTAACAGTCTCAGCTGTCCTGCAGATATGCCATACCCTAGGTTTTTAACCTCCTGTTGTGCAATTTGGGCTTTTGTTGTTTCAGGCACATTATAGCCTTTCCTGAAGCCCTAACAAAAGGTATCTCATTGGTAATCCGAGGAGCAATAAGTCTATTAAGGACAGATCTACTGGCTCCTGTATCTATTAACATCTTATGTTTAGATTCCCCAATTTGGACTTCCACCAGGGGTTGGGGGGCTGGGGGAGCATTAGCTCCCTGCCCCTGCCCCTGGCCTCTTCATTCTTCTTTCTTTCTTGCATGGCTATAGCCATCAGGCATCCACTCTAGTGGTGGGTTTCAAATTTTTTTACTACCGGTTCTGTGGGCATGGCTTGGTGGGAGTGGCTTGGTAGGCATGGCAGGAGAAGGATATTGTAAAATCTCCATTCCCTCCCCAATCCAGGGGTAAGTTACTGAAAATCCCCATTTCCTCCCGATCAGCTGGGGCTTGGGAGGCAGAGAATAGATGGGGCGGGACCAGTCAGAATTTTTACTACTGGTTCTCCGAACTACTCAAAATTTCCGCTACTGGTTCTCCAGAACTAGTCAGAACCTGCTGAAACCCACCTCTGGTCCACTCTTCCAATATCCTTCCTTTCTGCATATAGCACACTGGTTGGGTCCCAAGGGGATCTTTCCTTTTCCATGCCCATACTACTTCAGATTCCCTATACTCCCCCTACTCACCATCCTCTTCCAGATTGTGTCCCCTTCCTCCCCCCTTTTCCTGCCTAAGGGCATCTGCTAGAAAGATAGCCTTCTGAATTTCTTTCTTATTTTCTTCTTACCCTCTGTTAGTAAAAAACTTGATCAGCTATCTCAACCAATTCTGAAATGTCTTTCCATGGACCTCCTTCTACTTTCTGTAACTTTCTTCTACTATCCTCTGCTGACTGCCCTATAAAAATAATTCATCGTTATCATTATCATTTTCATTTTCTGATTGTCTGAGGCTTCAGGTTCTAAATCAATGTATTGTCTGAAAGCCTGGTATATTCTTTCAAGAAAAGTCCTCAGGAGTCTCATCTTTCTTTTGCCTTATTTCATATACTTTTGCAAGATTCTTAATTTTGGGAACCCCATTTTGGATTCCATTCAAGACTAAACATTGAGAATTTTGTAGCCTCATATTGTCCCCATCATCATCCAGATCCCATTCTGGCTCCGTGAGGGGGAATTCCCAGCGGTTGTCATTCTCATGCTCTTTTTTTTTTTTTTTTAACTGCAGCTCCATTGTCCCCACCTCACCAGTCTCTGTTCCTCTGGTGTTAAAAGGACATCCACCTATGTCTGAATGTCTGCCCAAGTGGAGCTCTGTGTCCTTATAATAGATAAGAACAGAGAGTACATTTTCTCTGGATCTTCCCTATAACTGGGATTTTGTTGCTTCCAGTTATAAAGGTCTGAAGTAAAAAAAGGTGTGTAAACTAGCATTCGGCAGAATCTATTTCCTCCTACCACTATATTTTCTCTGAGTGGAGCCTGCATCTACAGTTTCAATTTTGAACGAGAGTGGTTGTCAGAGGAGTCACTCACTGTTTGATTTTGTTGTTCCTCAGCCTCCCCACTTCTCTGGGAACTCCTTGTCTGGGGCGTATCATTCCATGAGTAAGTAGAGGGTGGCAGACCAGTCTCAGAGTCTTCCAGTATAACTGGAGGAGCACTGGGTTTCTTTATAAGAAAGGGAATCAAAATAATTAACCCCTTTCCCAGTCTGGGGATAGGGAGTCAATACACACAGGCATTTACACATCAGCATATTTACACATTTATCCTCCATTCAAACTGCTTGCAGAAAAAAAAAATCCACATACAAATATTTCCTTTCATACTTTCTCCAGGCAAACCAATCATTATTATCATCATTTTAGGGAGCTTTCACAAGCCAATGAGCTCCATTTTTCCAAATCCTTTTTTTTAAAATAATAAAAGTAATAATAATAATAAATAATAATGCCTTTTTGTTTATTGTTATTAGAGGGTCTTGCTCCTCTCCCAAGTCTTCGAAATGACACAACATAGAAACACATATACATTACCTCCACACTCCTCTAACAGAAATGGACTATTAACAAGTTTCACAAATAAACCCAAATATTATATCTCTGTCTGTCTCTTTTGTTTCTGCAATATTGCTTTTAGTTGCTCAATATGTCCCATATTATGAGGTCTCTGAAATGGCCAAAAATCACCTGGATTGTCCAAGGGAAGTTGAGGCCAGACAGACATACAATAATGAGAAAAGGCTGCCTTTGATCCCTATATCTAATCCTCCTAATATCTCAAAATTAGCCAAAATACAACCCACTGGCACATCTTTTGGCAGCTTCCCTTTTGGCAACTCTGTTGCCCCTCGACTGGATACCTTTTTGCTACCAGTTTCCCATTTCAAAGCCAGATCTCAGGTGGATTCCTCTTATCCTCTGGTCTTTGCCTTTGTTTGCCTTTTACTTAGGGCTGGATCTCAGGTGGATATCCCTTATCCCCTGAGACGTCTCCTGTCTAGTCCTTACCTTTCCTACATTTTCCTCTTTCTTTTCCTCCACCGGTGCTTGTTC